TCCCCTTGCTGGCGCTAGGCACGCCACGCGGGCGGCGCAGAGGGCACCGCCGGGAAAATCCAGCACCGACCCAAGACATCCTCGCAGACCTCCGAAATGTAGGAGCTCGACCATAGGAAACCTCCCACAAAAACCCAACCCTGTGACCCCAGGGTGTTCATTGATTTTTGGTGTGGGAACGTCATGCCTTCCATAGCAAAACCATCGACGCCCGAGAGACCCAGGGCACCCCGGAGGCAAGCAGGGTGCTTCTTGGCACGGGGTTCCACTGTATCGTATGTCGCTGTTTCTCCTCCCACCCACCCCTCTGCGACCTCTGAGGAGGGGCAGCGCCAACCCGAGCACTCCGCGCGGACCTCCGCATGTGCATGCTTCTGTGTCTCTCGGTGCCGGTACTTCGCCTCCGGGTTCCTGTGCAAGGCATTCCTTTGCATGCACTTCGCCTTCGGCACCGCCTGATTCCGGGGCTTTGCCCCCTCCTGGCCTTGACGTGAAGCCCCGCCTTTTTTTTCCCTCCCTCTGTCAATTAAAGCTGTGCGCGGCCCGCTCAGCTTCGACCGGAAGAGGCTCGCTCTCGACCCGCGGATCAAAAAAACATGTCTCTCGGCGTCTTCTTCATCTCCCCCTCAGCCGCCGGGGCCCCTGCGACCCTTGACGCGCGGAGGGAAGGCGGCGCCGTGCCCCTGGCGCAGGGGACGCGCCCCGATCCTTGCCGCTGCGCTCCTCGGCAGAATGGCAGAGGACGCGACGGTGCGCAGGCAGCGGGATGGCGGCTCTGGACGCCCGAAATGGGCACGGAAAGAAAGGGTACGATGCCCAACAACAAATGTTGTCCCAAACCAACAGCGGCCGCTGTTGGGCAGGCGGCCTTCTGTCTCGAATGGACACAGGCCGCGGCGGCGTGGACAGCGGATCTGGTTCAAAATGAAGAGGAACTGCTGTTGGGCATAGTACCCATTCTTTCCGTGCCCATTTCGGGCGTCCAGAGCGGCAGGCAGAAGTAACAACATGAGGCAAAACCGACCTCGCTTTTGAACCCCCTCGACTCCAAGCGTAGGCCAAACGATGCCAAGCTGCCCGTGGGGTGGCCCGCAGCGGCCGGGCTGCTGGACGGAGAGAAGCGTGTGGCAGTATGCTGTTCTGCCTGGAAGCGCAAGCGGAGTAGGCGCTTCACCATGTGGCTCAAACAAATTCATACGCATGGCCTCTCGGAGGGCCGAGCGCATGTCCTGGATCGGCGCTGGGCCTCCTCTTCCCCTCGCTGGCGCGCGGAGAGCGTCAGGGACAGCGCCGCAGGCGCCGCCAAGGGGGCCCAACGCAGACCCAAGAAGTCCGCGAGGGCCTCGGGAAGTGTATGTTGATGTAGCTGTTCCTTCTTCGAGGCAGCGGGTGGGAGAACATGTCTTCGACTCCTCCTCCTCCTCCTCCTCCTCCTCCCTCCTCCTCCTTCCTCCCCTCCCTCCTCCTCCTCCTCCTCCCCTCCTCCTCCTCCTCCTCCTCCTCCTCCTCCTCCTCCCCCCCCCTCCTCCTCCTCCCCCTCCTCCTCGTCGCCCTCCCTCGGGCCTCTGAGGAGACTCCAGCTCCACCCTCCCCGGCTCGCCGCCGCCCTGCGACCACCAGCTCTGGCACTGCTCGAAGACCTGCCGCAGCTTCTCCGACTCGAAGGTCTTCGGCACGGAGCAGTGGAAGAGCCTGTGGCGAGCGGCGCGAAGGGGGAACCCAGATTTCGGGCGGATTGCCGTGGATCCCTGGGCAACATATGCGAGATGGGAGTGTGTGTGTGTGTGTACAACACATTTCTTCTACGCCGTAGAATGCGACAGCTGTACTAGGGGAACAAAAAGTGACATAAACATAAAAACTCGGCGGTCCGCGCGGATTTCTCGGATTGGCGCTGGGGACCCCCGGCGGTGCCTCCGGAGCCGCCCCCGGCGCGCTCCGCGCGCCAGGGAGGGGGGGTCCAGCGCCGATCCGAGAAATCCGCGCAGACCTCCGAGCTCTTATGTTCATGCCACTTTTTGCTCCCCTATGTGCCGCCCGTGTGCCGTGCCGTGCCCTGCCGCGCCCCGCCGTGCCGCGCCCCAGCGTGCAGAGGGACGTGCGCCGCCCGCGTGCCCTGCCGTGCCATGTGCGCGCGCCGTGCCATGGCCCTGCCGTGCCGTGCCATGCCCGCGTGCCGTGCCCGTGGAGCGCCTCGCTTGCCGAAGGCTGCGCGTGCCCGGGCAGCGCCCCCTCTACTGGGGGAGCAAAAATGCGGGCCAGATTCACATCCATGTCCAGTGCCTCTTGGACTTCTTTGGGAACGGCGCCACGAGGCCGAGGCGCACCGGATATGGATCACCATCGAGCCTCTAGGGGGCACATTTATCCATATCCAGTGCGCCCCGGGTTTCTTGGGAAGGGAGCCCGAGACTCCATACGGCGGTGGATATGTACAGAAGTATTGCCAGCAAAGAATGGCATTAACATAAAAACTCGGAGGTCCGCGCGGATTTCTCGGATCGGCGCTGGACCCCCCTCCCTGGCGCGCGGAGCGCGCCAGGGGCGGCGCCGGAGGCGCCGCTGTGGGGCCCCAGCGCCGATCCGAGAAATCCGCGCGGAGCTCCGAGTTGTCATGTTTATGCCACTTTTTGTTCCCCTATATACGCGCTCGATCAGGACCCCCTCGCTGCGCACCTCTTGCCTCTCGGAGGGCCGCCGAGAGACCGCTGGGGAGGAGCGCCAGCGCGAGCGCGCCCCCCGCCCAGAGGGCGATCTGGGGCCCGGCGCGGTCTTCGGCGGGCTCTCGGCGGTCCTTCGGCGGTCTTCGGCGGTCTGTCGGCGGTCTGTCGGCGGTCTGTCGGCGGTCTTCGGAGGTATGCCAGCGGTCTGGACGGCGCTCTTCGGCCGTCCTCTTTGGGCGGTCTGGACGGCGGCCCGACGGGGTCTGCGGCGGTCCTCGGCGGCCCTCGGCGCGAGAGACAGACACCTCGCGTGCACACCAAGGGGCCCACGATCGATCGAACACGTGGCAGAGGGCAAGCAGTGTGCCGCCCGAGCGCCGTGCAGTGCCCTGCTGTGCCCCCGCGCCGGCGCTCCGGCAACAAACAAACCTGCGACGCGCCCGCGTGCGGTGCCCGTGCGCGGTGCCCGTGCGCGGTGCCGTGCCCGCGTGCCATGCCGCAGCCGGTCTCTAGAAGTAGGTCGGGCATGCCCCCCTACAGGCAGATTTTGGGCGAAAAAGACAGGATAGTCCAAAAACAATCGGCAACAAAATCAGAAATGGATAGCATGTCGTTCCGAGAATCTCTGTGCTTGACTATTCTTGAATTTCCCCCCTGTAGAGGGACACGCCCGACTTCATCGTGCCGCCCGCGTGCTGTGCCGTGCCGTGCCGGTGCCGCGCGGGTGCCGTGCTGGGCCCGCGTGCCCGTGCCGTGCCCGTTCCGCGCCCTGTGCAGAAAGCGCAAAACGTGCACCGCCCGCAGGCCGTGGCGTGCCGCGCGCGTGCGCGTGCAGTGGCGTGCCACGTGCCGCGCGTGCCGCGTGCCGCGTGCCGTGCCGGCGTGCCCGCGTGCCGTGCCGTGCACGCGCACTTCGGTGCTGACGCGCCCTGTGCCTCGTGCAGCGCTGACGTGTAGGGTCTATCTGTAGACGCCCGTGGCCGTGCTCGGGCCCCAGGGCCATCGCACGGGACTCCTGGGTGGAAGGCGACCATCCCCACAGAAGCGGTCGGGGCCTCAGGTTCCGCAGATGCTTCCCTTTCAACAGTGCTTGCTCGGGGATGGACAGACCTCCCTTTAGTAAAACGTGGTTTAGTGAAAACGACCTCGGGCCCAAACCTGGCGGGCGCAAGCCTGGAAAATAACGGCCGCGGCGCCCTCTCGAGAACCGAAAACGGACAATTCACTAATCGACGTGTCACTGTTAGGAGGTCTGTCCACCCCCGACTTGTACGTCCTTAGGGGCCCGTGCTGCAGGAGGGCGGAGGCGAGGCGGCGGCGGCGGCGAGGCGGCCTGTGGTGGTCGGCGTGCTGTGTCCGGTTGGAGGAGGCGTTGACCAGGAAGGGCTCGCGCAGGAGCTGCCCGCCCCGGAACAGGGCGACGATGCTGCGGGCGGAGTCCGCCATGTTGAGGAGGACGATGACGGGGGATCGGCACCCGGCAGAGTCCTGCATCGAGAGCACCCTCTGCAGCGCCTCGTCGCCATTCTCTGCCTCGTGGACGTGGCTCGCCTGGAAGCCGAAGCGCTTAAGCGAGCTCACGGCCGCGGCACGGATGATGTCCTCGGCGTCAGCGACCACGACATCCAGATCACGCACGTCCAGTGCCCGCGCCGATGCCATGTGACATTATGGTGAATCCTGAGCCCTGGGATGTCCCTGTGACGGGCGATCTTGATCCACCATCATATGGACGAGTGACGGGGTCTGGCTCCAGACCTCTGCTAAATGCGTCTGTTTGCAACAGTGCGCCCTATGGGGGAGACTCCACCTGCTCGAAACAAGCGCCCAAAAAACAGCCAAGATCTACTCCATAGGGGGGGGGGGGGGGGGGCGAGCGGGGGTTTGGAGGCCCGCGCCGATCGGAAATAATGAATAAACAAACGATCACCTTGCTATCGTTCGGACGTCCATTTCCCGTGCATTGTTTGATTCCGCGCGTACTTTTGCGGTGACAAGATGCTACAATATGGTCTGGCTTTTCTGGCTCTGGCCTGGCCGAACAAAAAATGCACACGTCCGACCGATGCCAAGGTGAACAAGGGAATGATGAAGCTGAGGATGGAGACCAGAACAGACCCAACATGCACCAACGTTGCTGCACTACCGCATCGTGAACGTTTTGGCTCCAGACCTCTGCTTAGTGCGCCTGTTTGGAACAGTGCCCACATGGGGAATCCTGTGGGGAGGCGGGGCCCCTGTGCTTACTCCACCTGCCTGAAGCAGGCGCCAAAAACAGCCAGGATCTTCTCCATGGGGGGGGGCGAGGGCCCGCGCCGATCGGCAAAACAAGGCGCCAGAAAACGATCACATCCCGTTCCCAAGTCCTGTCCCTCTCCGCTGGTCGTTGAGAGCACTCCTTGCTTCCCTGCGCGAGAGAAGCGCCCCCCCTTGAAGACCAGCGCCCCACAGCCGGGAGGCGCTCCGTCTTGAGAGGGCCTGCCCCTCCTCCCGCGGAGACTCCAGGGAGTGCGCCAAGTGGGCGGGAGAGCCCAGAATCACATCGACAGGTCGGTTCGGCGATGGGCATGAATGAAGGGGCTGGGACATCGATACACACAACTAAAAGGACTCCCCATATTTTCCTGCATTTTCTGAGTTTTTGTCTTCCCCCCACTTCCCATATTTTCCCCCATATTTTCTGGCGAATTGACGATTCATTGTGTCTGAGTTTTTTTCCCTCCTGAATGAACCGCGGCGAGCGAACTGCACACACCAATGTCCAGAGGAGGCTCGGAGGAGGGAGAACCGGCTGTGGGCATGGGTGCGGGCTCTGTCGGACCCTGGGGAAGGCTCTCGTTCGAGAGGGGGCCCCCATCCGACAGAACACGCACCCATAGCCCGCTCCATCCCCCCTATGGGTGTGGGTGCGTGTTGTCCGTTCGTCAACTCGTGTCGGCGGGATTCGGCAGCCGAGTCGGGAAGCCGAGTCAGTGGAAATCGGCCGGCCGGCAAGACCTGCGCTGAGAAACAGGAATCCGGCTCGGAATCCGAAGTCGGATCGGCTCGGAATCCGTAGTCGAAGCCGAAGCCGAATCCGAGGTCGACTCGGAATTAAAACGGAATCCGGAGTTGAATTCGAGTTATATCGAGAAATCGGTATTGGATTGAATTGAAATCGAGAGGCACCCAATGACGGCACCCGCTCTGAAAAGGGAAGCCTCACTCGGGGGGGCCCTCGGCAGAAATCATCACGAGGGGCCACGAGTGATGGGCGCATCTTCCACCAACACCACCATAGGTAGGACGGGAAGGTCCTCCAGAATGAAGAGGAGAGGGAGGAGGTGGAGGAGGAGGAGGAGGACTCCTCCTCCTCCTCCTCCACCTCCTCCTCCTCCTCCTCCTCCACCTCCTCCTCCTCCTCCTCCTCCTTCTCCTCCTACCTATGGCAGTGGTGGGGCAGGATCGGCCCAGCAGCGAGGAGCGCGCGGTGGGTGCGCCGCAGACCGGTGCTGCGCGGCGGCCGCCGCGCGACCGGGGCCAACCGGGGCCCTGCGGCGGAGCTCCCTCCCGCCGAGCCCGCCAGGGGGCCCTCGGCGGAGCTCCCTCGCTGGGCCCGGAGGCACGCGATGGGGCGCCCGAGTTATCCTCCTCCTCCTCCTCCTGATCCTCCTCCTCCTCCTCCTCCTCCTCCTCCGGGGTTCCGGGGTAACTCGGGTCTGGGGTAATTCGGTTTTGGATTCCCGAAAAACGAACCCGAGTTAGCCCTGACCCGAGTTACCCCTGATGATTCTGGGGCTCTGGGCGCCCGAGTTATCCGGGGTAACTCGGGTCTGGGGTAACTCGGGTTCGGATTCCCGAAGAACGAACCCGAGTTAGCCCTGACCCGAGTTACCCCTGATGACTCGGGGCTCTGAACGCGAGGGGGTCGGGGCGGAGCCAGCCAGGGCTGAGATGTCGCCCCAGGGCGATCAGTAGATCAGCCGGCGCGCATGATTTTGGCCGGTTGGAAATTATGTGCTCGGAATTTGAAAGGTCGTTAGAGCTCTAATATTTTCCCCCCAGATTCGATCTTATTCCCGCTCGCCATCTGGATCTCAATTCGATCGGGTTGATATTACTGTCAAAAAGCATGTGGGCGGGATCGGCTGTTCGGGCCCCAAACAGTGTGTGCTTGCCCTGTGGAGGTGCAAGATCTGGTGCGCAAGCTGTGTGTGGTGTAAGCTTTGGTGTGCAGCGTGCGCGGTGTAGGGGATGTGCGCAAGCTATTCTGTGCAAGATATGAGGTGAGAGATGTGCGGTGCCAATTGTGCGATGTGAGCTACATGATCTGAGCTACGTTGTGCAAGCAAGGTGGTATAAGCCATGTCGCGTAGGCCACACGGTGAGAGATATAGATGGTTTGAGGTATGCTGTATCCTAGATGCGGTGAGAGCGATGTGGTGGAAGCTCAGCAGGGCACGTTGTGTGGCGTACGCCATGGTGCGCCAGCTGCGCGGTGTGAGCAGTGTGGTTTGAGCCATGTGGTGCAAGCCGTGCGGTGCAGGCTGCGCGACGCAAGCTATTCACTCTGCAAAAGCGACGTGGTGTAAGAGCGCACCGGGCGCCCACGGCGCGCCCACGAGCGGGCGCGGGCGCCCGCGCGGCTGGAGCCCGGGGGACCCACGGACTTCCCTGCGAAGGCCTAGACTCAGGTCGGGCATGTCCCCCTACAGACGGGCTGCGGGCAACAAAAATGATATATATATATATATATATATATATATATATATAAAGCAAAGCAGCAGATATTCACGGCTGAGTCCCGCCAGAAGACCCGCCAGAAGAAGGCGACCAACGCCGGGGAGCGCGAAAGGTTTGGCAAAGTCGTCACGGTGAAGAAGCTGACCAAGACCATCGTGCATGCCTTCCCCGCAAAGGCCCTCCATGACGAGGACGAGTTCTGAGGGCCCCGTGGCCGGCGGCTGGTCCAGATCTGTGTCGTAATCCCGCTGGCGGTCTAACCATGTCGTTCTTCCCTCTTCTAAGAGCCCCTCTTCCCCTTTGGGGAAGGGTATGCCCCTCCCCCTGCTCCCTCCCCTGGACCTGGACGGGGGGGCCGCGAGGTGTCAGAGGGTCCTTTTTGGCCCAAGACGGCTCCAAGATGGCCCCAGGGAGCCCAAGATGGCCTCCAAGATCGCTTAAGATAGCCCAACATGGCTCAAGATAGCTAACACCATGCCCCCAAGAGTCCCCCAAAGGGCCACCAGACGGATTGAGACCCCTCAAGACCTCCCCGAGAAGCCAACATCCTTCAAAAATCTGAAGGGAAGTCGATGACGTTGCCTCTTCGCTTCCTATGCGCTTTTGAGGATTCAAGATGGCCCCAAGATGGCCCAAGAAAGCTCTAAATGGGCCCAAGAGGCCCCGACACGACGCCAAGAGCGCCCAAGATCGCCCCAAGAGCGCCCCAAGAGGGCTCCCAGAGGCGATTCCGAGGACTCTTAGGGATGGCCTAGATGAAGGGACAACCCCCTTTTGATCGATGGCCTCCAAGATAGCTCCAGGAGGCCCTCCGGAGCTCCCAGGAGAACCCCAAGAGAGCCCCAAGAGGGCCCCAAGAGGGCCCCAAGAGGGCCCCAAGAGGGCCCCAAGACGCCCTGAAAGAGCCCCAAGAGGACCCCAAGACACTCCAAAGAGCCCCAAGAGGGCCCCAAGATGCCCCAACAGAGCCCCAGGAGGACCCCAAGACGCCCCCAAAAAGCCCCATAGCTCCAAGACGGCCTCCGATGCTCCAAGATAGCCTCCAACATGGCTCAACACGTTCCTCCCCCTCCTCTCTTCGACCGCTTTGTTTCACTATGTGCGTCTCTGCTTTCCATTTCCCCTCATCCCTCGTGGGCAGGGCTTCCGAATGGGCTGGCGGGGACTCGCGAAGCGTAAACTGTTTTCTCACGACGCGAGCGCATGTCTGGGAGCGCTGCCGTCTGGATGGCGCTGGCGGCAGCGCCGTCTCGTCGTCCTCGTCCTCGTCCTCGTCCTCGTCCTCGTCCTCGTCCTCGTCCTCGTCGTCGTCGTCGTCGTCGTCGTCGTCGTCGTCGGCGTCGGCGTCGTCGGCGTCGTCGTCGTTGTCGCCGTCGTCGTGAGACGCCCGGCGGCGACGGGCCGGCGGCGGCTTCGCTTCCCGCGGGCGGGCCGCGCCGTCTTCCCGTCAGCGGCCGCGCTCCCGCGGGGGGCCGCGCTCTCGGGGGGGGCTGCGCTCGCGGCGGGGCCGCCGCGGGGCATCGCGCGCGGCCTCCGCGCCGGGGCGGGGGGGGAGGGAGATCCTCGTGCTCCTCGCCGCCGTCGTCGCAGGAATGGGGGAGGGGGGAGGGAGGAGGGGGCGAGGAGGTGGGGGGAGGAGGAGAGAGGGGGGGGAGGGAGGAGGGGGGGAGGGAGGAGGGCGGGGGGGAGGAGGGGGGGAGGGAGGGGGGGGGGAAGGGGGGAGGGGAAGGGAGGAGGGGGGAGGGGGGAGGGGGGGAGGGAGGGGGGGGGGCGAGGAGAGGGACCGGTGGAAAGGGGAACGAGGGGGGGAGAGGGCGGAGAGGGCGAGGGAGGTACACACACACACACACACACACACACACACACACACACACACACGCACGCACACGCACGCACACGCACGCACGCACGCACGCACGCACGCACGCACGCAGCACGCACGCACGCACGCACGCACGCACGCACGCACGCACGCACGCACGCACGCACGCACGCACGCACGCACGCACGCACGCACGCACGCACGCACACCAACACACACACACACACACACCACACAC